GAGACACTGATGATGATGAGCTGAAGGTCCTTCTGTGCACTATGTCAAAACGGTCATAGTTGTATTTATCTTCTAGTCGAAGAGCAATTTTAATTTTTACAACGTTGCAGAACAAAATTATGGCTTATATTTCAATGTAGGTATTTACTTACACTGAAAAGTTCTACCATGTTTCAGTTAATAATAAAAGATCCTCCTCTGGAAGGCAAATTGGCTATCCACACTCTCCCTCATACCTCTCTAGTTAAAACTCTACCTGGCTTTGAAAGCACTCTACAACCTGGTCACAATATTTGCATAGCCCGATCTCCTGCTTTCAGCATACACTCTCAGCAGCAGAGAGCAATTGCCTTTTCATCCCTCACATGTCACTATCAATCCCCTCTGTTTCTCGGTTCATTCTGATTCCCTGACTGTAATTCCCCTCTGAATTTCCTACTTTCTCATAAAAACTCTACCCAGATTTCAAGGTTCAGCTCCTACCCTGCCTCCTCCATGTGATCTTCTTTGATAATCTGATTACCTACTTCTTCCTCTTCTCCAGGCTTCCCTGGTAGCTGAGACAGTAAAGAATACACTGGCAATGCAGGAGACCTGGGTTGTGAAGATCCCCTGGAGAAGGGAATGGCTACCCACTCCAGTATTCTGGCCTGGAGAATTCCATGGACAGAAGAGCCGGGTAGGTTCAGTCCACAGAGTTGCAAAAAATCAGACATGACTGAGCGACTTTCACTTTCACTTTCCTCTTCTCCAAATTCCTTCAGAATTTGGTATTTCATTTTGGATCATAGCACATTTAGAAGGGAACCTCAACTTTAGTTGTGCCTATGCCAACAGAGTAAAATGAAATGGGCATGTGTTTTAGTATCAGACAATTCTCAATCTCAATTCTAACTCTCTCATTCCCTAGCTTGAGTTGAGGTACTTAACATTTTAAAGCCTCATTTCTTCTCCAACCATGAAGAAAAATGTTTAACCTATATATCATGAAATTATATATGCATTATAAATTATTTGGCACACAATAGTCTCTCAGTAAGTGAGTCTTTACTCTCTTCTTCCTCCCCACTGTAGCCATCACACTACCCAGCACAATGTTGAACATACGGTAAATGTGACTTTACTGAAATCATACAAAATTCAGTTTGTCTACTCAATCTTCCTGTGGGGTCGAACTGCAAGATACTGGCCATCCCTCATCAAGCATATTTTGGGCAGAGAAGTGTCCACAAAACTTGAGAGAGCAGACATCAGAGAGACCATTAGAGGAGATGTTAAATTATGTGGCTTTTGAAATAGCTACTATCATGGTTAATTTTACGCGTCAGTTTGACTGGGCTGAAGGATGCCCAGATAGCTGGTTACATATTTCTAGGTCTGTTTGTGGGAGTATTTCCAGGTGAGATTAGCATTTGAATGGGTAGACTGAGTAAGAAATTGACTTCATCAGTGTCAGTGGGAATGATTCATTCCATTAAGGGCCTGAATAGAACAAAAAATGTGGAAGAAGGGCAAATTAGCTATCTACCTGACCTGGGACATTCATCTTTTCCTGCCCTTGTACATCAACACTCCTGGTTCTCAAGCCTTCAGATTCAGACTGAATTATCCCACTAGTTTCCCTGGTCCTCTTGCTTGTGGATGGCAGATTTGGGGAATTCTTGCTTTCCATAATCCTGTAAACCAAATCCTATAATATTGTCTCCTTTGTTGTTGTTGCTGACTCATATACTTTCCAGGCAAGAATATACATATGTATATTCCTGTGGACCCAGAAGTCTGGCAGGCTACAGTCCATGGGGTCACAAAGAGTCAGACACAACTTAGTAACTAAACAACTATATACACACACACACACACACACACACACACACACACTATATGTATATATATACACTGCTATTGCTAAGTCACTTCAGTCGTGTCCAACTCTGTGCGACCCCATAGATGGCAGCCCACCAGGCTCCCCTATCCCTGGGATTCTCCAGGCAAGAATACTGGAGTGGGTTGCCATTTCCTTCTCCAATGCATGAAAAGTGAAAAATGAAAGTGAAGTCGCTCAGTCGTGTCTGACTCTTAGTGACCCCATGGACTGCAGCCTACCACTCCATCCATGGGATTTTCCAGGCAAGAGTACTGAAGTGGGGTGCCATGTATATATATATATACACTATTGGTTCTTTCTTTGGAGAGCCCTAACACAGTCATGTTCTCAGTCAACATCTGATGACAGTGCAAAACTCATGGATGTGGTCACTGAAGAAGGAAACATGTAGTTGTGAAAATCTGACTCCTGCAAAACCTGTGCCCAAAACTCTTTAAAATTCGAAGTACAGTGTTGGAGGAAATTTCCACTCTCTACAATTGCCAAATTTTGACATTTTCCCCCCCTGACATTTTTATTTTCTCTTATCAGAAAGGGTAGAATTTCTTCTGAAAAAGAGAAGAAAAAGAAGATACATAGAATATGAATTTTAAGTGTTATTTTTATTCTTGAAAAGGCTTCTCATAGACTTTAAAAGAAAGCTTTTTTCCTTCAGAGATTTATTTTGATAGAATTATCTGAGCCTTGTCAGGGAGAACAAAATTTTTGTGAGCCTACCATACCAGTAAAATGCCAAATTATATGCTGTAAGTTTTTTTTATTATCTCTGGGTCCAGTCAAAGAGAGAAAAGATTTTGAATCCAGAACTATTAGCATTTGGAGACAAAAGAGAGCCTTCACTGCTGCTGATACCATGGGGCTTGTTCCCTAGCCGTACAGGCTCCATCCCTCAGGTGGGAAGATGCTGTATCCCCATCACACACACACACACTCCTTTTCTGAAAATCCAACGAGTTTAAAACAGGATCGATTTCCTTAGCCACTTCTTTGAAAAGCTTTAAGTCAACTTTATAATGAATATCAGGACAGGAGCATACACACACACACTCCACACCCCTCAAAGTCACATTTTACTGAGGGCGTTAAATCCGCACTAGTTTATCGTGATCACAAAGAAGTAGCAGAATGCAGTGGGAAGAGTTCAGACTTTAAAGCCAGACACACCTGGATGTGAATCCCAGTTCTACTACTGTCTGGCTCTGCTACCCTAGGCAAACTACCTAACCTCTCTGAGCCTCCGTTACTTCATTTGTAAAGAGGAGATAATAATAACACCTATGGTTAGAATTTAAAAATTATGTATGTAAAATGCCTTAGGTATTGGCTTCCCTGTAGTAGGTGCTCCATAAGTGGTACACTATAAATGAAACCTGGACTATGACATCTGAGAGACAAACTACACATGTTGGAGGCATCACAGTCAGGCTAGTTTGAGTGGAAAGAAGCACCAACAGAGAGCAAATTGGTGAAAACAAGCAGGGGCCACATCAGAGAGGAGCTCATGCGACCAGAGTAAGGACTTTGGATTTTTGTTCTCAGTGTGATGGAGAAGCCATAAAAAGTTTTGATTAGGGGAATAAAATTATTCAATTATGTTTTAAAAATATTTCTTTGGTTGCTATGTAGAAAAGACTGTGGCTGAGTGGTTAGCAGACTATTTTAGTAGTCTAGGTGAGAGCCGATAATGGTGAGAGGTGATGAGGCAGATGGCAGCAAGTGTTTGGAAGTGCAGTATGACATGATGGTGGCGCTGACAGAACTTGCTGATAGGCTGGAGGCATTGTATGAGAGAGAGGGGAGGAAAAATATATTTAGGATTTTGCACTGAGCAATTAGAAGAATGGAATAGCTGTGAGACAGGGAAGATGTGGGAGAAGCAATTTGGGTCAGAGAGAATAGGGCATGAAGAGTTCTTCTTTAGACATGTGAGGTTTGTGACATCTATTAAACATCCAAGGGGGAACTGGAGACTGGATCTCAGAGAAGGAGTGAGATATGAATTTGGGTGTCATCATCCTAAAGATTGGTATACAGAGCCATGAGACTGGAGGAGATTGACAAGGTAGAGACAGAAGGAATCTGAGGCCCAGGGCACTGCATTGTTTAGAGGCTGTAAAAAGGAGGAAATCCAATAAAATAAGACTTTGCAGGAACAGTCACCCCTGGATTTGGCTACTCAAACATACTGGTAAGTGAAATGGTGGGAACAAAACCTGACATGAATAAGTTCCAGAATGAATGGAGTAAAGGGGAAAAAAATAGTATAGGCAACTCTTCAGGAATTTTACTTTAAAGGGAAAAAAAAAAGAGAAAAGCTGGAGGGAGAAGTAGAGTCTTGAGGTTTTTTTTTTTTTTTTTTTCCAAGATGAAAAATATACTAGAGTGCATGCTGATGGGAATCATTTAGTAGAGAGGGGAAATTAATGGCACAGGAAAAAGAAGAGAAAATTTCAGGATTGAAGTCCTTGAGTAGGCCAGAGGAGGTGAGATCTGAAGAAAAGTGGGAGGGTCGTCCTTAGACACAGAGGATTCTAAGAGGAAAGAAAGCCAAGTTCATGGGCAGAGATTCAGGAGGCTGGCAGATTAATTGTCTTGCATATTCCTGAACAAGACCTGGGCCAAAACACACTGCTGGAGAGTACCTTGTACTGGGCACTCTACAGGGCGACATTCCACAGCACAACACAGGGAAAGGTAATTTTGTTGTTCTCATGTTTCCCTCCCATCGACCTCACCTGGTTGTCTAACCAGACTCCAGCATGGACACTGCATGCTAATGAGACAACATTTGGTCCAATCCCAGGCCCTTCTTTCTGAATAATTAATCTGGCACTTTACCAGCACCCACAGCCTTGGTTTTTTTTCCGATGATTAAATGAAAGGCCAAGGCTCTTAACAACTGTCAACAAGCTCTTTGGTGTGGTTTGGCTCCATGTCATATTAACCCACTAGGAAGTTTGGAACAATCTGATGAAAGGAGCACACCCGGTCTCTTTTCAGCCCTCCCCCAAACCGTAGCTCCGACAGCAGGGGTTCAGCTGAGTCTTTCCGGAAAGATGGAGGAGGATAGGATGTCCTGACAATTCCAACTCCACACACCCACTTCCAGCATCACCTGGGTCCTCTGGCTTTCCTGAGTCCCTTCCAACCATTCAAGGGCCCTGTTTTTGCTTGCTTTCTGGCAATTCTCCTGTCTGCCTCCTCTCCATCCACTAATCTTCTTTCTCCTGAAAGTGATCACTGTCGACTTAAGTTCCCCAGACTATGTGACTCAAGCCCTAAATTAAAAATAAAAGAAGGTCATCTTCCTATTGAGACGTGTAAAAAAAAAAACCCTAAAAATAACAGGTTTCTCTCAATTCAAGTATGAAAATGCCCAGCAGAAGCCCCACCTTTTAAATAAGCTTTGAGATTTCTTTGAAGATGACAGAGAGGTGGAAGAGAAGAGGATCGGGTAGCAACTGGGTTTTGTGAAGCCCTGCTGGCACTGCAGAGCTTCCTGAATTCAGGAGGGGCATCAAAGGCACTGAGATGGCAGAGATCGTTGTGGCAGGAGCAACTGGAAAATGTCCTGGGACTGAAACACAGATAGATTAACATCACCCCAGTGGACATTAATGACTTGCACTTTGAAATGCCAGAGGCTCATACTGCCAGTTAAGACAAGGGAAAAACACATTTCTGGTCTCCAAAGACCTTAGATCTTTCCAAACTCTGCAGGCAAATGCAGCCGTCATGAATTTCTGCAGCTGGGCAGCCCCATCGTGCCGCTAGGGGAATCATTGCCAGAGTTGCTATGGGCAGGGTAGTCAGCAAAGCTGAATAAAACAATCACTGAAAACCTCTCAGAGGTGAAGTTTAGTAATGATTCAATTTATAATTCAATGCAATCAAGCCCACAGCATTTCCAAATACCACGCTTATTTTAGTGGTCCCAGGTAAAACATGATTTCCTCTGAAGGTTCACAGGCTTGACAAAAGGGTTTCCAAACAAGTTTTATGATTTACCATCGGCAGATAATTAGAATGTCTTTTCAATCACTGGCATCTGGATAAAGTAATTTTGTCCCAGCATGGGCATTTCTAGGAAGCAAACAAAAGTCAAAAACGAAAGAGCTTGCTGGAAGCTTTCTTAAAAAGAAAATCTTTCAAGAACTGCTCTCAGCTGCAGGAAGGGAACGTTCCCACACCAATGTGATTAGCAAAATAAATGGGGGCTTTGAACAGTGTAGATCAACAAAAGAATATCTGGTGTGACTCAAGGAAGGAAATCTCTGGTTAAACATCTAAAACTGCAAATGGGTAGGGACCAATAAAATGAAATGTCAGTCTCATGAATTCGGTCCTAAGTGAGTCTAAAATTCACAGGTTTCTAAAGTCAATTTAGCATTTCCAAATCTGGCAACAAATAACTTTCTGATGCCCTGTACTAGGTGCCACAAGCAAGGAGAGATGAAAAACTAGACCTGAGATCTAAATTTCTCATCCAGTTGAGAAGGCCAGACTAACAGAATGAAAGGGGCATGATTAAATGCTAAATTGTGCGATACTTATTTTAAGTTGAATATAAGTTCAGAAATGAGAGAAATCAGTGTTGGCTGGGGCGGAAGAGTTCCTGAGGGGCAGAGTAGCAAAAGACCCCAAAGGAACCCAGACATATTCTACTGCCTACCTGCCACTGTCGCCACTGCTGCTGTGTCTCTGCATTGTGATTATTGTTTTCAAACAGTGCAGGCTGCTGGTGGGAATGCAGACTAGTACAGCCACTATGGAGAACAGTGTGGAGACTCCTTAAAAAACTGGAAATAGTACTGCCATATGACCCAGCAATCTCACTCCTGGGCATACACACCGAGGAAACCAGAACTGAAAGAGACGCATGTACCCCAATGCTCATCGCAGCACTGTTTATAATAGCCAGGTCATGGAAGCAACCTAGATGCCCATCAGCAGATGAGTGGATAAGAAAGCTGTGGTACATATACACAATGGAATATTATTCAGCCATTAAAAAGAATACATTTGAAAAAAGAGACACAGATGTATATAACAGACTTTTGGACTCTATGGGAGAAGGTGAGGGTGGGATGATCTGAGAGAATAGCATTGAAACATGTATATTATCAAGTGTGAAATAGATCGCCAGTTCCATTTCCTTCTCTAAACAGCTGTGTGGTCTTGGGAAAATTAGCTTTTCTATGCCTCAGTTTCTCATTTATAAAATGGAGTTACTAATAGATCCCATCTTACAGAACCATTAAGAATGTTGAATGAGTTAAAGTATGTATTTCACACAATGAATTTAAAATTTGTGAGCATCAGAATTACCTGGGGAGTTTATGTAAAATATGGAGTCTGTAGAAGTTAAAGAAACTAAGCTCCCTAGTGCAGTTAATTATATTTGGGGAGATGGTGGGAGAAGTTTAGTATGGAGATTTCTCTTCTTTGAGTGTCTTATGTACAAGCCACTTGATCAGCAGACCATTTCACCTTTGTTCTAGGGTGTTTCTCATCAACTTCTTGCACTGTTTTGCTGTGGAATATTTGTGGTGTGTTAGTTTCGATTTGGATTATATCCGATTTTTTTTTTTAAAATTCATTTTTTTACTTCTTCCTTTTTGTTGAAATTTTGGAGTATAGCTTGGTTATGTTTTAATCTCAGGGCATTATCTTTAGTTTCAGTGCATTATCTTTTTAAAAATGTAATGAAATTATAATCAACAAAATGAAAAATGAGAACACAGAGAATGAATTAAAACATTAAAAATAATTTAAAAAGTCAACTTATTGATGCTTAGAGGAAGCATGCTATTAAAGAATTAAACCTAAAACTACGGGGGATAATGATCCCATCCAAACTCAGTATGTATTAAGTGGGCCTGTTTCCAGTGCAACAGCAAAAACCTCTTTGAAACCAGCTTAAGAACAAAGGTGATTTACTGGCTCATGTACCCGGGAAGTCCAGGGATAAATGTGACTTCAAGCACAACTGGATACAGAAACACCAGTGAGGTCTTCAGATTTCTCTCCAGACCTTGGCTCTGCTTCTCCATGTTGTTCTCATTCTCTCCTACATACAGGTGGCTTTGTGGGGCAGGGAGAATGACCACCAGCAATTACTGCTTCCCATTTTCATGGCTGATAATTCTAGGATAAGATGTCTTTCCTACCATTTGCACTTAGTAAATTCAATGATTTATGCCACCTGCCTTAGTTTGGGTTCCTGTCGCTATAGCCCAAAGGATGGGATTCTCTCATATTCTAGGCCTGGCTCATGTGCAGATCCGTTTACCACTAGTGGAGGTGATATTGGAAATCAGAAGTTTGAATGTAGGGGAAACATTGTGAAACAACAACAAAAAATGCTGACAATCTCTTCCTTCTAAACATGCAGTGATACACAAGTATCTTTCTTCCCACATATAATTTTAAAAAGTACCTTAATTTAACATCATTCCACTGTTCCACACTCAACTGAAAACACATCACTCACTCTCTAGTGGGAGACAACCCCAGGACACACATTATTTCTACATCTTGCTTGCTGTACCACATTTCTAGGCGATCTGCATTCTTCCTGGTCAGGCCTGGAAAGCAAAATGGGTAGCCAAGAACAACCACCGTATCAATATCTTTGCATCTTAATGCAATGAAAAATCCATAAATTCTCTACTAAGGACACGTTAACTCTAGTAGTTTCCCTCTCCAAATTAAGCTGAAGTTATTAGAAGGCTGGTTGCATAAAAGTGTCCAACTTGCAAAAGAAATTATTTTCCAACCTTTAGACACATGCTAAAACAAAATTTCTCAGTACCTCTTGGTCTTAGAAATTAAATATATTTTCTAGTTCCTTAAAAACAAACAAAAACAGTTATACAGGAAATTTAAGAGACCCATGTTACATTTTAGGAATTAACAATGACTGTTAACAAAGACTTTTCCTAAAGTTCATGTTCAGCTAATACAAGGATGACAACTGTTTTCTGTCTTGAAGGGACTCAGTTGTAGAGTACATTGAAATGACAATTATGTTTGACCACTATGCTATATTGATTTATCCAGACACTATCCGCCCTATGGGAAACACATAAACTTTCAGCCATCACACATGGTAACACTGGGAATATATCAGCAATAACCCCTTGTTGCCAGTGGTGGTTACTTTCTTACAGTAAATGACCCTGCATCTGTCTTCCTGGTTTATGTGCTTATGAAAGAACTATTGTTTGACAGAACTGTTGCTGAAGGGTGTAACAATGACAAATTGGACCTCCACTTATAATGAGAATCTCAGGCTGTGTGTAAATAGAGGTCTGAGCAGAATATTTTTTGAATAATTGGGAATTACATAAATGAATAAATTTGGATATGAAGAATGTAGTCACAGATGGATTTAGCCCTTGATTCATCAGACAAGTTGCCTTAAGAGAAAATACAATAACTAAACATTAAATCTGCTGCTTAAAATATGTCAAGGCTTTTAACCAAAACAGGCTTTTAAACTCAAGGCAATCACTTGTTTCTTTGCTCGGGCTAGTTTGGATGTATTTGTGTGAAAATTGAAGGAGTCTCCAAAAAGGCCAACAAACAATTATGAATGATCAGTTCCATTTTTTGATTCTTTGTGATTCCTCATAAATTATATGAGGCCAAGAAAAGGTTAATTTGACCTAAGGAAAAGGAGATTAATGTCCACTGCCTTGTAAATTTTCCATTCAAGGAACTGAGTACCATACTTTCAGCTCAGAATTTTGAAGGTACTTTTTTTAAAAACTTTGGACTTAAATGAAAATCTTTGTATTAGATTGTATCAGTGACAATCTCAGATATTTCATATTTTATGTAAAATGACTTAACAACAACAGGTAGTTTTGATGTTGGAGCAACTATTTGTTGGAGAAGTCAATCAACTGTTGTTCCTGTGAACAAATCTCCAGCTCAAGAGGTACAGCCTGATACATTTGTCTGTCTCCTGCTGTTTACCTTGCATTTATATTAACATGATTGAGTACAGTGTTTTTCAAACTCCAACTCATGATACAGGTGAATAATGAAATCAAAATATAACCAGAATTTAAGATTTTTTTCTTTATGAACACAATACCATCTACAAAGTAGAGAGAATAGTAAAATGAACTCCCATACACCCATCACCCAGATTTAACAATAGCAAGATGTTCACACCTGCTTCTTATGTCCTGTTGTTTCAACTTTTACTCCTTGGGAGGTATTTTCGAGAAAATTCCAAACAGAATGTTAATTTACTTCTACATACGCCAGCATGTGGCTTCCCAGGTGGTGCTAGTGGTAAAGAAGCTGCCTGCCAGTGTAGGAGACGAAAGAGACATGGGTTCAGTCCTTGGGTTGGGAAGATCCCCTGGAGGGGGGCATGGCAACCCACTCCAGTATTCTTGCCTGGAGAATCCTGTGGATAGAGGAGCGTGGTGGGCTACAGTACATGAGGTGGCAAAGAGTCAGACATGACTGAAGCGACTTAACATGCACACACGCCATGCCAGCATGTTATCTTTAAAAAATATATAAATATTTTCTTACATAAAGAGTCCATTACTACACTAAAAAAGCAACAATTCTTGAATTACAC